CGTTTTTACTCTTAGTAGTCTAGGTTTTTAGGCTGTTCGTCGTTTTGGTTTCGGCGACGACGATGACGACGCTGAATAAAGATTATTCGGATCATTTTCTGAGGAGGACATCGGTCCTATGGATAGGGATGAATTTGAAAATCAATCTGTTCAAATAAGGATAGCGTGGCGGCGGCGACATCCTCATGACGAAACTGTGTCCTCGGTCTCCGTCGTTACGACGGTGTTTGCTCCAGCGTCGGTGCGGAACTTGGGAGGTAGTCCGGGAACGGATGCAAATTGTCGTCTGCATTGACGACATCTGGAAGACGGAACGTGTACTGGGTTCGTAGTTTGTGGATGGCAGGTATGGTTTCCTCCTTCGACGTCTCTAGTCGTGGTGGGGTGCCAGATCTGGAGTTCGATGGCGTGTCCGGGGTGTTGCCCCGGTCTGATTTGTTCAATGACAAGGGCTTCACTTTTGGCGAGTCACCTTGGAGGTCCGCAAAGCTGCATATCAGCGATGGAGCCGTGTCGAACTCGGGTGAGGAGGTGATCCGTCATTCTTTTCTTCGATGGCTGCTGTGGTGGTGCTGTAAGTAGGTGACGGGTGTTGGTGTCAAGCTTATAGATGTTCTGCTATCTTTTCAATGTTGTCATGTCGGTCTTTATGTAACTTGTACTTTGATCTTTATAATATAAATGAGACACGTATTACATGCAAATAAAAGTATTGTTTTTATGAGACTTTGTATTACAAGCTTCTAATAAAATTCTCAAATAAGTGGAAGGCTAGGATTATGCAGCAATATTTCGTAAAAATATATTGTGTGTATTCCGGAGCTTCGAGAAACATTGACCCTTCTACCGTGTATATGCAATCGAGACTACTCTGCGGACGAACGTTGGACGATGTAGGTTTTAACGGTGTTTCTTCACTCTACGCATAAACCAGTGGCAAGGCTAGCAGGAAGATCTTGTGGGTCATTGCTAATTTTTTATAAAAAAATTTCTTCCTAGCACTGGCGAATCTAAGAGGGGTGCTTCGACAGGCTCAAGCCCCTGGGAAAAAATTACTAGTATTCTTCCCAGCCTCGTATAATTTTTTTTTCGAGAAAATTTTCGATCTATTCATTTTCAACCATGACAGTGCAACGAACACCAGAAATAATAAAATTACATTCAGATCCATAGACCACCGACGACTACAAGCACTGAAGCTCGCGCCCTCCCTCACTTGAACCAGACAAAACGTGTTGTATCAGACAGTTGGGAAGTCGTCGTGCTAAGACCCTATAGGACCAGCACAACAGAACAACAACCGTCGCCGATGATGAGTAGCATAGATCGGAAGGATCCAACCTGAAAAACACAAACGTAGACGAACTACGACCAGATCCGAGCAAATCCACCAAGGACACCGGGGACGGGGCTAGGCGTGGAGAACCTTATTCCATCTTCAAGGAGCCGCCGCCGTTTCGGCTTCCTGAGCAGGACATAGACCTTAACTAAACTCGAAGAAACATCTAAAACAGAAGCCTCCCTCCGGCAAAGACCGGGATCCACTGTGTCGTCATGGCCCTAAGGCCATCGGAGACGAGGCGGACCGATGGTGACGCCGACGAAAGGCAGAGAAACCCTAAGCTTTTCTTAAGGGAGAAGGCAGCTGCGTATCTCGTATCAAAATTTTAACCTTACTTGAACAAAAAAGTTGAGAGTTTGTGTCTTTTTCTTCACACCGTTAACATTGAGCCCCTCCTTCATTTTCATCTAATACTCGCCACTGCTTCCTACTCCCTCCGTCCGGGTTTATTGGGCCCGAGAGCCATAGATGGTTGTACCATTTTATTAGGCCCGTACATTAATTACCTTGCTTTATTACCTGAAATCACTCCCACGCATGCATCGTTGCAATGGAGCCGACGCAGGAACCTTGCCGATTGGGCATGCATGCAGGCTAACCTTGCCGATTGGGCATGCATGCAGGCTGCATGCGCACGCCGGCCGCTGCATGCTCTGCTTTGGTTAATGGGGCAATTTAATAGGGCAGTTAGAGAGCAAATTAAGCAGATTTATTTCCTAAATCTCAACATGCGTGTATCTCCTTGGTCTTTGTGTTGTGGCTTAAGGGCCCAATAAACCCGGACGGAGGGAGTAATATACAGTAACATCGCCACTGGCATGAACGGCTTGATATGTTGCGTCGTCTGAAATTCATCCAGTGTTTGTTGTCTGTATAGCAGCGTTCATATACATTTCGTAAATATAAGATGTTCTAACTTTCACTCATTCAGTCTGTATGTACTTAATTGAAATATTCAAAACTTCTTATATTTGTGAACAGAGGGTCCGATGCTATCGTAACATTTTCTTTTTGGACCTATGTATGTTGGATCTTTCATGCAATGTTCATAAATTTTTATTTCACAATAGCTACATGTCAATTGCCTGACTTTTGAATTTAGGTCAGTCAATTTTTTGTTGAACGAAGAAACTGCCGGAGGGGAGGAACGACCTCGTTGGGCAGGCTACCCCATCATCTATCTTAGGGTGAGGGATGGGGGAGGCAGCACGGCAGTTGCTGGGGGTCGGCAGCACAACGGTGGTGAAGGTTTGCCGAAGAAAAAACGGCGAGGCCCGGACCTAGAGGGATGGTCGGGGCAGCGGTAGCACGACGATGGGAGGAGCTTCCAGGGAGGACGGGGCGGCAAGGCTGCATGGTAGCGCCACCGGCCGCAGGCGGTGGTGGCAGGCGGTTCGACCGATGGTTTGTGTGGTGGTTGAAAGATGCATCGAGAGGTTGAAGACACCTTTGCAGCCGTTAGATCGGAGATGAAGGGTGGAGAACAGTCCACTGGCCCAAATTGGGAATTCTGGCACCCAGCCATTCCCTTTTCATTTTAATCGAGTAAACCGCCAAATATAAAACACCTGCGACACAAACCACTAGACCAACTCACCTTGTAATTACGCGCTACAATCGATGGTACTCTCACAGTCTCAGTTTAGAGGGTGTGCATGTAGTTCTAGATCACCTATTTGACTAACTGCAATCGATGGTATTCCCTCCGTCTCAGTTTAGAGGTGTGCGTAGTTTTAGGTCATCTATTTGACTAACTAAATATGAGTTATATGTCATCAAAAGTGTATATTATTGAATTCTTAAGCGGATATAGTATCTAAACATATACTCCCTCCGTTTCTAAATATAAGTCTTTGTAGATATTTTACTATGAACCACATACAGATATACCTAGATGCATTTTAGAGTATAAATTCACTCACTTTGCTCTGTATGTGGTTCATAATGAAATCTCTCCAAAAACTTATATTTAGGAACGAGGGGAGTATTTTTCATCACATATAAACATATACAGCTAGTTGCCTTGTAAACCGAGACGGAGGAAGTAACCAGAGATGGCTACCTCCTTAAAAAGTTGACTGAAATAATCTAATCTAATATCGAAACAACGTTGCCAGTGGAAGCAAACTGACGAATTCATACTCCTACTTCCTCTTCTCTGACGGACAGGATAACGGTGCGAGAATATTTATGCAGACAAGTACTTGATAAAAAAAAAGCAGCTGATTTCTTCGAGTTCGCGCCAGAGTTGTCGCAGATGCTCAAGAACAAAACGGTTCATACTCCTACTGTCACATGCAGCAAACTTTACACTGGAGAGAATTCAACGACCAATATCCATATGTACACAACTCCCAAGACGGGAAGAACTGAATTGCCATTTCTCCCCAAAAACCACCATGACCAACAGGGGTGGCATCAACAAACCAACAACGCTATTGTACACAATTTACTTGCCAGATAGAAGCACTCTCTTGCCCTATGGACTGATTCTACTGCCTGGTCAGGCTGCTTCCTTCCTCCTCGCTCGTCACACAAATAGTCGAGGACTACAGTTTACGGGCAGAGCGTGCAAGCCAAAAGGGTAGAGATGCTTCCTAGACAGAGATGACAACAATCAATCAGTAGTTGCACTTCCGCAGCAAAAGAAGCACGACTAAAAATCATCTAGAGGAAGAGTCTGTTCTTCACGACATTACATCCTTAGCTACTCTGTTTGAGGGAAACCATAGAGGAAAGTTCGTTCTCCAGAATATTACCTCCTTAGCTACTTTGCTTGAGGGAAACCATCACTGCATAACTTCTTGAAATTCTGGCACTCGTCGGCGAGATAGTCGCTATAAATTTGTGAAGGAAATATCGAATAAGATTCTGAAAATCATTGCAGATGCAAGACAGGTACAATGAAAGACTTACTAGATGCGTTCCGCCATTTCTGTCACTTCCCATCTAGGACTCCATGGATAGCTGTTTTTTGGAGATGACGTGATAGGTATACCTTGGGAATTACAGTGCTGCAGAGGAATCAGGAATGAGAACGTTACTGCACAAGCAACAAAAATACCAACAGCCGTCACTACCACCGACCATCCAAATCTATATTCAAAAACAACAGACTGCATACAAGCAAGACCTTTGATCAAGCATCTACATAAGAAATAACCAGTAAGCATGTACTCCCTCCGTCTGAAAATAAGTGTCTCAACTTTGTACTAACTTTGTACGGTGGGAGTATATCGCAAATAACCATCAGCCAAATAAATATACCTGACAACTCTGCAAAGTCAGGATAGGTTGTTGTTTGGGGAATTGAAGGGGGATGACAAAGTGAACCTGCAACATCACATTGCGTCAAAAGTCACTACTGGTTAGTGGATAATCCAGACACAAGTATATGAGACTAAAGAATCAAAATATATGGTGCTAAATGCCAACATAATAATTTATAGAGAGCATTCTTACTAAGAAAAAGTCTACTATTCGACAGTGAACTCTGGCAAAGGTTCACTTTTCAATCTTCAACTATAAAACCGTTTGAATTGCAACATCAAACCGTGCTTTTCACACTTGGGTAGTTTGGTTTCCCTAGTGGTTTTGATGACATGGGTGCCACATGTCAGCCATGTCACTACCATGAAATGACAAACACTACAGCAACAAACAGTCTATAATAAACTCCCTCATTCGGATAGAGAACTTAAATGGAAAATGCTAGAACGGGTGACATGAAGTGAAAGCGCAAAGTAGGAGCAAATGTATAAAAGGCATTTCATGCTCTAGTGCGTTTCACCGTTTCTGGTACAAGAAATGGATGTTGGTTGTGGTTCAACATGCTTGGCAATTCTAAAATGAAATGCTAGCAATTTATGAGTCCAATGTTCATTTTGATTGAGCTAGAAGTTTGGTTTGTGCATTGAATCTTGTGATTCGATGAGTTAAAAGTTGGTAATTAGATTCAGAAGTTCGGATTTGACTACAACAACAACAACAACAAAGCCTTTAGTCCCAAGCAAGTTGGGGTAGGCTAGAGGTGAAACCCATAAGATCTCGCAACCAACTCATGGCTCTGGCACATGGATAGCAAGCTTCCACGCACCCCTGTCCATAGCTAGCTCTTTGTCGATATTCCAATCCTTCAGGTCTCTCTTAACGGACTCCTCCCATGTCAAAATCGGTCGACCCCGCCCTCTCTTGATATTCCAATCGGATTTGACTGTTTGGGTTAAAAGTTGGTCATCTGTATGCTTTCAGTTAAAAGTTGGATTTTGTTTTCTTTTACATTTTCCATGTTGCCTCAAGCGATGGTGGCACCGCCTGCTGGCCACCAGAAAGGGGGATGGGGTCACAGAGCTCAGATGACACGGGTACCAGAGTGCACAAGGGCAGGTCTCCCCGCTCTAATTTACTAGCAGCCCCCACACAGAATTGCAGACAGCTGTATGCAAATACAAAATACATATCCAGAACAAAAAAGAAGAAGGCTTATTTGGCAAAAGGGTAAGGAAAGTATTTACGACACGAGGGGAAGCCCCTGAGACTTGGAGCAATCTAGCAGATTCGCCACTTCGCCAGCCTCCAAAATAGTTTTGGAGCCCACTCCATAATTTTTGGGAGGCTGCCAAGCCTACCTACGTGCAGACTCAGATTCTCCAAAATGCAGCCTCCATAATTTTTCCCTTTCATTTCCTTTTTTTGTTTGCAACAACTCAAAAAAAACTACTTCTGTTTAGCATAGATTTTTAACCAAACTTCGGTCAGATAAACATCAAACACTTGGAATGACATTGCAAAGTGATAGTTCATTTATATATGGGGACAAAATTAGCCGCTTTAGTGAAATTGTACATATCCAGGAGTAAGATTAGTCACTTTAGCGACATTTTAGAGAAGGGGACGACATTTCCAACACAACTACATTAGTAAACTAAACTAGATGCCGCAGGACGAGCCAGCGCAGGACTTGCCGATGCTGGCTGTGGCCTTTGAGTCGCGGGCGTCCGACTCCCATGCCAAACAGGCGCCCTCCTCGACATCAGGAGCAGCAGCTCATTCCCAGATGGCGCACTCCCTCTTGGCATCCATCGCTGCCGATTCTGCCATGGCTTTGTCGAACTTCGCCAGGCTGTGTTCTCATAGAAGACTGGGGCTGGGCGGGCAAGGTAGGCAGTAATGCGGGCGTTCCAAGCCTCCCTACAGGTGAGGGTGCGACACTGGCGCGTCCATGGCACAATGTTGACGCGGCGGGCGACCCTCGTGCGGAAGAGTCCAACAAGCACGGGCGGGATGACGGGATCCTCGTCGTCCGACTCAAGCATCCCGATGTCACCCATCTCACTGATGGCGGCAGCTTGCGCCTCATAGGCGCATCATCCTCTTTTGGAGGCCACGCGGCGGCCCTGCTCCCGATGGGGCGGCGACGCAGCATGGCATTGGCGGAAGAAAGGGCGCAGGCAGATCTGGGGAGGGGACGGGGAGAAGCAGAGAGCGGAGTGGAGATAGAGGAGTCGCTAGACGGCTTTTATAGCCGCGAGCGGCGGAAAAAAGGCACCGGCAGCGGCGGGAAATCGCGGTGGAAAAGGGTGTGGGCAGCAGGAACAGTCGCGGACAGGTGGAAACACGCCAGAGTTCAGGTCACTTTGTCCAACATGCTAACGCTGACCTTATATATTACAGGAGAATCCCCTTGGCACTTTTTAAATAAGGATGGTGAAATGCAACCATGGAGGGTCAATCATGGGTCAGCAACCCGCACAGCTTGAGTGGCTAACAATCCTAACATTCGCTCCGTCTCTTGGTAGGAAGGTAATGAACTATATGTATTCTTTTATTTATTGATTAGCTCCACACAGTGGAAAAAACGAAAAAAAAAACTAGATTTACGCATTTAATGACATACCAGAAATGTGAAAATCCCCGAAATGGAAAGAACTGTGGCTTTCCTGCAAAAAATCTGATACATAGACAGAGTTGTTAAACGACATGGCAAAAACCACAATAACATAAGAAAACAATGAGAAGCAAGTACCGGATCAGCCTCCAATGGTCTCCCGAAAGCAGGAGCTAGGGCCTCAATGAATCGTCTCCTGCAACCGATTGAAGCTGATGCATCCACGACCTTCAATATAATTCAGAAACATAAGCTTGTAAAATCCAACAGTGCCATTAATGGTGTTCTAAAATTGATACCTTGTTTAACCAATTAGATGCTTCAGCCATAGTGAAATTTCAGTTTCCAGTGGATTTAACAACTTACATGCTTATACGTCCAAACAAGTCTACTAATAAAAGTCAAAATGCAAAAGCTACAACACGGCAAAAGGTCTCCTGCTTACAGCTACGATGTCAACAATATCGTAAAACCTACTATGTCCTTTCCTAGTTACATTTTTCTGTTCTTGGCACCATTTTCGGAATCAGATCCATAATGAAATCTTGAGCACAGAAATGCTCACAGCTTTAATGTGACAGAAGTAGTAACCCTTGCGCAATCCCTAACTAACATATCATGTTTAATATGAATGGAGTTGACATCACAACAGAAGATATAGCATAACAACACCAACGGTGAGAATAGACAGTCAGATCAGGACAGATACTGGTAAAATGCAACAATAATTACCTGCAATTTAAGGTCTTCTTCTAAAGTGGGAATATACTCAGCCATGCACCTTTACATAATTAGACAAAGAGGAGATCATCAGTGACAAAGTGATGCTGTTTCTTTTGGTGAAAATGTTCAGCAGAAGATTGTATCACACAGGTCTGGTCTGTTTTGGCATATAACATGCAACAAGAGATAATCTTCGTTTAACCATTTACTCATTTGGAAGTCTCGCAAGTTGACTTACATCCCATCTACCCATGCAGGGAGCTTAACACCATCCACAGAGAAAAATGACTTCAAATCAGGAGTTGAGGTTAGTTTCAGTCCTGGTGCAGAAGGAACAGAGAGGTAACTACTGCTAACCGGAAATATGGCCTGCAAAATAGCCGAGCTGTCCATTATCAAATGCATGACAAAACCCCTAAATTCCATTAAATTATCCAAATTATAAAACATACAAAGTTAGCAGTGGTGACCATGTCTAGCAGTAAATATATTTGTTATTTATGTGTAGCATGATTTGTCTGCTATCTAGGAAGTATTTTGGGGAGTTCTGCCAGATTGTTTGCATACTGAGTCCTTGACACATGACAATTCATCAGATACTTCCAAGTCACCACTTGAGCGAAAGAGAACATATCTATGCAGTAATGGGATTGTTGACTGCTGAAACTCCTGATGCTTTTCTTTTACAGGGAAATGCCCCGAGCCATTTGCATGTTGTATAATGACAATGCTCTGATCGTAGTAAGATCCAATAGCTGGAACATCCTTAAGCAGTACATACTACCCTTGTTAGGTAACAATGACTGCAACCTTCACATGGTTTACTATGCATATGCAGTTATCTTGGTTAGAGAAGATGCACACTCTCCTTGTTACAAAGATGTGGCAAGTAATCCAGAATAATAAATGAACTAGTGTAATGTATGTGCCGGGCGAATGGGCAATAGGAAGTACGACAAAACTTTAAATTAGGGATCTGGATTGTCAGTTGCTAGCTTATGAGCAGTTGCTATCATTAGGTGATTTGTTTGTATCCTTCAGATTTGCTAGCAAGGGACTGGGAAAGAAGCAAGGCGCGTCAAATTCAAAAGTAAGGAGTAGTTAACCAAGTGCCAGTCTCCTTCATCCCTACCATAGTGGTGCGGCTGCCGTAGCACCCGCATAGGTCCTGAGCTCCTAGGGTACCTCAATGAGGCCTTACGACCCCATACTATAATGGTTAATTTCGTATCGGCATAAGCAGCTGAAATTTTGCTGGTATAAATATTTCTCAATTATCATCATCATTACTCATTTTCTAGAAACATCACTAACATTGTTACAGCTATTTTTACATGTCCACATATGTGTACATGTAAGGAGTGGTTTTAGAGGTTAACCTGCAGATGGATCTTTTGGGGAAGTTTCCAAGGACATCCAGGCACCATCATTTTGAGGTCTAAATCCAGAAGCGGGACAGCAAATTTCACCTCATCTGACTACAAAGAAATATGAAAATACAATATAAGAAAAGGCATCAACTTTCAGAGATGAAAATGGCCGTGGAGACTGTGAACTTACCCTACCAGTTGATGATACCACGGAGACTTCAATCCCCTGTTTGAACACAAATATTGGAAAAGTCATCTATAAGATAAATGGATTTCAACAATCAAGCTGAAGAACGAAACTGGTAATAAGCCAGTCAAATGGCTCAATCTTCAACTCATTCACATGAGCATGTATGTTTGTCACTATATTTAAACCAAACAATATTAATAATACCTTCTAGTTACTTCATAAGATAAGCAGTCAATGCCACAGAAAGGTCAAAAGGGAAAACTTGGTACATTTACCTCCTTAGCAAGAACTGTGCTTATTTCAAACTTCAGTCTTGCATCATCCACTTTCTCAACCAGCTTCTTTTGGTACTCAATGTATAATAACCTGCAGAAAATTAAGCCAACAGCAAATAGCTTAGAAATGAGTTCAGCACGAAAAGCACCAGTACAATCTCAAGCATGCTCTGCGCACCAACAATCTGCTCATCTCAAGATAGCATTATTTCAAGCCAACAACTACATTGGCACTCCTAATTCCTCTTGACATATCAGTACAGATTTTTGTTGAGGACCCACCACTAGCTTCACTCGATGAATTTCTAACCAATATCCCAGCCCCAACAAATGCCTAGCCAAACCAAGTGCAGGCCTAATCATCACCAAGTTGCTGGCCTTGTGTTTACACTTCATTAATTTGAGTTTTTCTTCCATTAAGTTATTTCAAGTAAAATGAAATAAGATGGTCACCTGTATGTTATGCATAAATGCTTCAGAGAGAATGAAATAAATAAGTGCAAAAGGCAAATGACGAAATATATCTGTATAATTAGGAACCAAACGATAAAGTTAACGTCTTCTAAAAATAAATAGACTGGATGGAGCACATTTTCTGTTCATATGACACATGTACCGTCAGATTATATTAGACTCATTTTGCTATATGAAAAAACAGAAGGGCCAGCCATTATTTCTTCCATGATTATTCCATTGCCTTTACATCTATGTTTT